TCCAGTGAAATATATTTATGTTTGTGGTTGTAATGTGACAAAATATGGAAAAGTTCAAGGGGTATGAATACTTTTGCAAACCACTGTATATTCTTAGAGCTTCCCTCCAGAGTTTATCAGTGAGAAACAACAGTGAAGGTGTGACGAGAGGCTTTGTTTTTTGTCCACCTGGGCTCTGATGAAAAACTGTGTTGTGAAATGTTGGACTGTTTGAAAATTGACACAATCAAATTTAGCAAAGGGGCCTAAAATGTTGCCTAACCGCCCTTTACCCAACATATATTTGTAGAAGCAGTTCTTTGGCCAAAGCCGTCCTCAGTCTTCTGGTCTGTGTGGGTCGACAGCAGCTGAAGATGGTCGCTTTCTTTGTTGTGGCGTTTCTGCTGTCGTTGAGCAGCTCTTCCTTCAGTCAAGGTATTTCACTAAACTGCAGAGTTTTAATAACTGAATATTTTTTTTTAAACGTCTTTATTTTTTTTTCTCTTCAGAATGCAGACCAGGGTTTCTGGAGAACATGGATTTTCCTGGATCAGATCTGACGTTTCTGTTCTCTCCTTCTGCTGAGCACTGTCAGAAGCTGTGCACCCAGCACCCCTCGTGCCTCTTCTTCACCTTCATACGGCCCGACTGGACCAGAGACAACACGTGAGACCAACATTTCACTATATTCTGAGCAGAAAGTATTTTGCTTAAAAATTTTTGGAAGTGATTTTTACCAAACTGTATTTATTAAAAGTATTTTTGCACAATTTGTTCATTCGTTTGTTACATTTTATTTTCCCATTTTAGTGTTATTCTTAATTCAGATGCTTTTAATTTTATTTCAGTGCAGTAAATGATAATTAAAATGGGAAAAATAAAACACAGAAAATGCTTTTCTCTTCTTTCAGCTTTTTTCGCTGCTACCTGAAATCCACTCCATCTGGAGAGCCAGCCTCACAAACTCCTCTTCAGGGCGCCACTTCTGGATTCTCTCTCAAAGCCTGCAGTCAAGACTTACGTAGGATCACTGTTTTCTCAAAACTATGACTCAGCTGTTTATTTAAACACATAAATTACTTGTTTAGTTGCTTGTGTTAGTTTACTTTGCTGTATTTTTGTCTCCTGTGTGTCAGAACCGTGTTTTTCGGAGACTTTTGAGAACGTGGACTTCCCAGGGGCCGACTACAGAGCCCTGTTTACACCCGACTATGAGGAGTGTCAGAGAGCCTGCACCCAGGACCCTGGCTGCCAGTTCTTCACCTTTTTAAAAGGGGATTTTTCAGGAACAAATTTCAGGTAAATTACCCAAAGCCGTCATGTGGCTGGAGGAGGTCACAGCATCAGCTGAGAGAAAAGTTTATGATGAGCAGTTTATGAGGATGTTGTGAAAGGTAAAGGGAATGAATGACAACTGAACAGACTTTGCCATCCCTTAAAAGAAGCATACCTTCAGTACTTGTGTATATTAAAGTGTACACACGAGTGTATTAAAGTATAATCAAGTATATGTCCCCAGATGTTCTTTTATTTATCAAGTAATCAGACATAAGTACACTAGCAGTTTACTAATAACTGACTAGTTTATGAAAGTGTACTTGTGTAAGCACATGTGTAAACTCAAGGCCTACAGGCCAAATGTTGCCCGCCACAGCATTTTTATGTGGCCCGCAAGAGCATCAAAGATTAATGTCTTAAAATAAATGTATTGAAGAAATTTAAAGTTATTACAGGTTAGTACTGATGTTAAAAGCACAACACTATATTGTTAGGTTTTTCTTTTTATAATGTTGACAATGTTTAATCTATTATGCTTTGATTGATAGATTAGTTACATGTCCGAATAATATAACAACACATATTTAACCGTTGTGAGAACAGTAGGTGAGAATTTTGAATGAATGCCTGTGATTCAGCCGTAGGTCAGTAGGGGGCGAACGCAGGCATTGAAGAAGGTGTTGAGGATTTTGTCTGAATGCCTGTGATTCAGCCGTAGGTCAGTAGGGGGCGAACGCAGGCATTGAAGACCCTGTATAAATGGATCAACTTCCTGGTTTGTGGTCAGTGTATGGTTTCCTGTCAGCTCCAGTGACAATAAACCACCACTCCAGAATTCTGGTTTTGTTTGGTTTTATTCCTTCTAAAAATCAGGTTATTTAACAGTGGTGGTTTTCATATTGACTTCAGTCTTTGAATACGTATATTTTCTTACAGTATGATGCTTTATCGCCAGCATTGACCATCAACTACATCTCCTGTAGTGCATGTAAACTATTTTACCCCATGAAGCCCCAATTTTTGCGGGGGTTAAATCACCCGCAAATCTTGAAAAAATGCAAATACTGCATTCGGTTTGTGTGGCATCATAATGTTGTGAGAACCAAACAAAAACACATAAATGCCAAAACAGTCAGTTACACACCACACCGTAATGTTACAGAGTGGAAATGCTGCTCTCTGGGCAGAGCATTGGCACGGCACCTCCGTCTCTCACTGTACTGTTAATTAGGCCCGAGCCCAGCGGGCATTGCTGCTGAAGGCCTGTTGAAAATGTAGTTTCTTATTATTATTCTTCTACGACTTCGGCGGCCCATTCGGAGGCTTTGCCATACTCGAAAACTCACTTCTTAAAATACTTGATTTGACTAATTTTTTTTCTTATTTCAAGAATCTTACCAAGTAAAATATTCTTACTCTGGCAGATATTTTGACTTAGAGTCAAATTTTCAGGTTAACAAGACAAATAATCTCACATATTCTGAAAACAAGATTATTATTCTTACACAATCAGTTCTTGTTTAGTAAATCAGTGTCAAAACAAGATAAAAAGACTTTTTGGCTGGATATACGTTTTTAAAACTTGGTAAGATGGACTTTTTTGCAGCGTAGGCCCATTTCACATGGTTTTTCATGGTCTTTGGTGATTTTGAGTGGGTTTAGGTGGTTTTCAGCCCTCCTAGGCCCGTTTCGAGTGGTTTCAGGTGGTTCTGAGCCCTCTTAGGCCCGTTTCACATGGTTTTTGATGGTTTTTGGCTGTTTTCAGTGATTTTGCTGGAAGGTGTGGTTGAGGCAGCGTGGCAAAATCATCGTAGCCCCGTATTTTAGTATTTTTGGAAAATTGTGCATCCTGGAAATGCAAAATTGGGGTAGAACCAGTTCTCCTGAAGTCGCCACATGGCTGAAGCTACAAGGGTCGCCCACTGCTGCTTGCAACTTTAATGTTAATATGGAACTGAATTTGTTTTAATGTTGTTGGTACAAAATTTGTAAAATTTAATGTTCTTAATAATTTAGCTTGAAAACTCACAAAAAAGCATGAGAAAACTCATGAAAAGTTTTGTGTTCTGCAAAATTATGGAGATTATCGCAGACTACTAGTAGTTAGGTTACTTGAAAATATCAGCAAAAGAATGAGTACCCAAACAATGAGACACAACTTTGTGTGGCTTCTCTGTATTTATTTATTAGTTATTTATCCCTCAGACACCTTCATTTGGTTTAAAACGCTGCAGCTCGCCTGCTAACTGGAGTTTGTAAGAGGGAGCACATCACCCCCACTCTAGCCTCTCTCCACCTGTTCATTTTTGAATTCATTTTAAGATAATTTTATTTGTTTTTAAGAGTCTGAATGGTCTTGCCCCTCCCTGTTAGTCTGAGCTGGTTCACTCTCCCGCTCAGTGCCTTAGGTCAGCTGATCAGCTGCTCCTGGACGTGCCGAGGTCCAAACGTAAGCTAAGAGATGACAGAGCTGTTTGTGTTGCTGCTACTAGACTATGGAACAACTTCCACTTTCTGTGAGACAAGCCCGTCCACTGTCCACTTTTAAACGTTATCTGAAAACACATTTCTACTCCCTGGCTTTTGGCACAGCCTGAGACTTGTTTTTAAATTTTCATTTTTTTGTTTTTTTTATTGGATTTAGTGTTCTTAATCGTTGTTTCCTGTTCTTTATGTTGATTTTACAGAGCACTTTGTGGCAACTGTGGTGTTTCTAATGTGCTTTATAAATACTGTACCAAACTGTTCCACTGGCCCTAGACCATCATTCACACTTAAATTATTTTTACTGAAGCTGACCTGTTCCAAAAAAAAAAAAAAAAAAAAAAAAAAAAAAAAAAAAAAAAAAACACTAGATAGAATTTAAAAACAGAATAGGATAGAAAATATCTCGCAGTATTCTAATACCCAGTCTGTGTGAAAATGTACTTGTAATGCACTAAATATACAGTAAGTATAGGCTAAATATATTTAGACTTTTAGTATTTATTTTTGTACAAGCTAAGTACACGTAACATAAACTTTATGTGCATAGTGCATGTGTTAAGTACAATAAGAACATAAAAAGTAAACTGATTATTTTTAAGCGTATAATTAGTACACTTAAAGGACACTTGCATACTACTGTTTTGTAAGGGGTGACCTGACTCAAATAGACAAAACAAAAAAGACCTTGTGAAAAAAAACCCCAGAACTGAGCTAAAAGATTAATTCAAATAAAAGCCAATTCGGGTAAGATGTTTGCACACTGAGGTGTGGGAATCTCTAGAATCAGTGATACATGTGTGGGTTTTACCAAGTTCCAGATTTCTTAACTTCAAAATGAAACAACGAGTAAAACTTCAACCTGACCTCAACTCTCCACTAGAGGAAGCCAACGTGCTGACTGGTGTTTAAATGTGGTGGGATGGAAAAAACAACAACTCAAGTCAAACACTGACTGAATGAAAACAGAGTTTTAACTGTGTCATTATTCAATGCTTAACTTTAGTTAAACAACTAAAAGGACAGCACACTGGCTCTCTCTTATGGATGGTTAGAGTATTACTGTCACTTGACCCAACATGCTTCAAACTTTATTTCTAAAACTATTCAATCTATAATGTATTTTTTATTTAGGGCATCAAATTGATATCATGATTGATGTTTTTAGGCCCTGTCCACATTTGCAATTCCTGTCCATTTGCAAGTTCCTGAATCTTTGGAAATAATTCAGTTGTGTTTTTCAGAAAGACCATATGCCCACTCAATTTGGGTCACAGAAAAAAACCCTGTTTCTATATTTATTTTTTATGTGTCCTGATATAACAAACATTTATTTTATTTTAGTTATTAAAGTTTTGAGTGAATTCGTAACAAATTTGAGCGTACTTTGTCATAAACCTGGAAGATTCTGCCATCTAGTAGTGTACCATGGATATTACAGCATCATTTATTTGTTTATGTTTAGATATGAATGATAACCCTATTGAAGAAGTGAATCCAGGTTGTTGAGCATGTTAGTTGTGGTGCAGGAAGGAGTGTAGTGGGTTAATATTGTGTAATTTCTTCTCTTCCAGGTTCAAGTGTCATCTGAAGTTCAGCTGGAGTTTACCGGTGATCCCTGACATAGAAAAAAGAGCTGGACTTGTATCTGGGTTTTCCCAAAGAGCAGAAATAATCCCTGAGCTGTTTTATATAGGTACACACACACACACACACACACACACACACACACACACACACACACACACACACACACACACACACACACACACACACACACACACACACACACACACACACACGTTTGCACAGCTATCCATTTGGGGACATTCCATTGACTTCCATTACATTTCCACAGCCTAACCCTGACCACAAACCCTAAGGCTAACCTCACAGGTACCTACCTGACCCTAAAACTAACCTAAACTCAATTCAAACCTTTGTCCTAAACCAAACCCACAACCCACCAATGGCATTTAAACCAAATGAGGACTCAACTTTTGTCCCCAAATGCACCAGTTGTCTCCAAAGGTAGACCGTCCATCATTAAACAGAGGTGGAGGCCTCCGTTTTCAGTTGTCCCCCTCCTACAGTGCGGCTATTGCCAGTATCACTCCACCCGCTGTTAACAATAAGTGTTAATTAGGTGTCAATGATAGCCATGTGATGTGAGTATCAGTCACATGGAGGCAGTGCTTAAAATGCTGCGACAGGATTCCCTCCAATGGGTGGAAGGCATCCAGGTTTATTCCATAAAACCTAGCAAATGTATTCGGGGACGTCCAAGAAGCTGCTGAACATATGGCCTCTAGTGTGACCACACTCATAGCCTTTGTAGAATGGCACCGTACACCTGCTGGTGGTTGATGGCCTTGCAGGGTATATGCTCATTCCACTATGTCCACAATCCAGTGCGCAATGTGCTGCTTGAAAGGCCTGTACTTTGCGAGGCCCCGCGTAGCAGAGAAAGAGGCTCTCAGACTATCGCAGAGAAGCTGTCCGATGTATTCTCCCAGTGCTTGAACAGTGCAAAGAGGTTCAGCAGCACTGCCTGCCTCGAAGCTGGAGAGGCTGAAGGTGGCTCGAAGAGGAGGCCACCTTAGGGAGGAACGCTGCATTGGGCCAGAGGATAACGCCCGAGCCAGAGGGGTTCCATCGGCAACAAGAATCGTGAACAGAAAAAAATGTGTGCAGCTCACTCACGCGTTTGGCCAAAGCCATGGCTAAAAGAAAGGCAGCTTTTTAGACAAGTACTCCAGACTTACCTCTGTCAAAAGGCTTGTATGGAGCTGATCGCAGGGCCTGGAGCACTAAGGAGAGGTCCCACACAGGCACAACAGGACGTGTAGGAGGGCGCAGGTGTCTGGCACCTCTCAGAAACAAGGACACATCCTTGCTACGGCCTATAGTGTCTCCACCCACCAGGTATGCCAGCAAGAGATGGCAACGACATACACCTTCAGGGTGGAGGGAGACCTGCCTCAGGAAGTAACTCACAAGGAAAAGAAAGAATAACAGAAACAGGACGGTGCACAGCGTCCTTGTGTCTGTCTTTGCACCACCTGCTAAAACCCTCCACTTGTGGGTGTACAACCGTTGTGTGGAAGGGGCCCTGGCATTCATTATTGTATGTCTAACCTCCTTGTCGTAATCTAAGAAGGCGACGCCGGGCCCTGAAGTGCCAAACCCATAGAGGAAGGTGACAGGGATTGGGGTGTAGGATCTGACCCCCCAGCTGTGATGGGAGGTCCTTCCTGTGGGGGAAGAGGCATCAGTGAGCTGCAACAGGGCCTGTGCAGCAGCGGAAACCAGGTCCTCCTGGGCCAGAAGAAAGCCACTAGGAGGACTGGGTGGCCCTCCTGAAGGACTCACAGAAGTGTCGGCTCCACCAGAGGAAGTGGTGGGAAAGTGTAAAGTAGTACCTTGAGCCAGCCGGGAGCCAGTGCATCCTGGCCCAGTGGACTGGCTGGGATGTGAACTGCCCTGAGGCTGGTAAGGTGAGGTGCTGCCCAGATCAGAAGCTTCTGGGTCAGCCGCAGCAGTGTCTGTGACTTTTTCACCCCAGATGATTGATGTAAAAACGACCGATGTATATTGTCGGACTGCACCAGGACATGTCTCCCACATAAGTTTGGTAGGAAGTGTGTTAACGCCAGCCGCACAGCTTCTGGTTCCAAGATGTTGAGTGCAACATTCTCTGCTGTGGGGACCACATCCCCCTGGCGCTCTGTCGCTACCACGATGCACCCCATCCCATGGTGGACGCAGCAGCGTAAACAACCTCTCTCCGAGACGGCAGAGAGACCAGCAGAACCCCTTTTGTCAGAAACGCAGCATCTTGTCACCGAGCTAATGCTGCAAAACACTGAGGGGACCTGCAACCTCCTGCATCGGTGTACTGCCCTGGTCGGATCTAGCCATAGGCTGTTGATCCATATTTGCAGGGGCATAGATATAACAGCCCCAAGGGGACCACTGTGGCGGCTGCTGTTAGCTTGCCTAACAGGCGGAGGTAGGCAATACAGGGGGGTGCCTGTCCAGCCAGGAAGGCTGGCAGCATCTGCAAAATCTCGCTGACACACTGCGGTGATGGGCAAGTGGTCAATGTGAGGGAGTTCACCCCAATATTGAGAAAAGTGACCTTCTGAGATGGAACCAGATTGCTTTTCTGCCACTTTACATGGAGCCCCAAGTGGTGGGGTGCAATTGCCACATGGAAATAGGCGTCCTTCAGGTCGATCAAGGTGAACCAGTCGCCTGGAGAAACGGCCTGAAGCACATCCTTAGTGGTCAACATGTGAATGGAATGATCTTAAAAACACATTTAGACCTCTCAGGTCCAAAACAGGCTGAAGGCCTCCGGTCTTTTCTGGGACTAAAAAATACTAAGTAAAAGCCCCCTGGATCCAGCAGGGGGTTGACAGGCACTATGGCACCTTCTGGCCAGCAAGGTGTCTATTTCTAGGTTTAGCACCTGAGCTTTCACCTGGTCGTGAATGACTGTCATTCTGATGTGACCAGGAACAAGAAGGGGCGGCGGAACTGTATTGTGTAACCCCGAGTTAATGTTGACACAACCCATGTGTCGGGTGGGGCTGCATAGGAATGTGAGAAGGGTGCAGCAGCCAACCCCAAGGGGTGCTGCAAACGCCTTTGATGAAGACTGGCCAGCTGCTGCCTTGTACAGGTAGCCTGAGCTGAGCGCTCCAAGGCTGCAAGTACAGCTGAACTAAAACAGCTCCTCCGGAACCACAGGGAGGCTCAACAGAGTCTTCCTACAGGCCTCAGATAAAGGGGGACTATGCCAGCAAAATCTGGCAGTGTGCCTGGACAAGAGTGGACAACACTTTACCAATTTCTCTTGAAAACAAGGCAAGGGCATGGAGGGAGGAGTCTACTAACACCTGAGTGGGTGCATCAACCGCCATGCCTTCCAAGGAGGCCGACAGACTCAGTAACAAGTGGGACATTGAGTTACCGAGTCATCCCAATCGAGCCCCTAAATCATAGGCTTCACAGAGCAGATCGTCTGTGACACAACACTGTGGACGAGGATACCTGGCGTTGGTTCACAGACCTCATCAGGGGCCACGATGAGGGACGCTATGGCAGGCTCAACCGAAGGCATGTGGGCCAAGCCGAACCTCGGTGCATCCTGCATGGCCGCCAGAGCCCTGCCGTCTGAGGTTGGTCGTGAAAAAGCCCTAGTGTCTGCTCAGCAGGCGTGCATCTCCTCCACATTTTTAGCAGAAGGAGGACCCATGAAGGATGACCTAGTGGTAGGGCGTCAGAAAAAGGCATTGGAAGCAGCTGGTTGGGTTTGTGGAACATCCAGCTGTAAACAGGCAAGTGCTGTCTTTAAAGCACCTATTATGGAACCATTCTCCCCTGACCGAGGGCAGGAGGAGGCCTGGGAGCTGGCAGGGGACATACATGAGTCCGAGTAAAGCTGCTCATGAAATCTGTACCCGAAGCTGCCAGCGATATAACATCCTCTTCTAGGCCGGATGCCCCTGACACCAGAGTTTGCTCTGGCTCAGGGTTCTACGCTGGGGCGCCGTGACCTCCCTCTCTGAGGGCCTCCAACAGCACCTTCTCTGCTCCAACTCTGAGGTAAGGTGGGACAGACCTTCAGACCCCCTGGAGCTGTTCCTGGTCTCTTCGCGGGGTCCCAATGTCTCTGGGGCCACGTTCTTTGCAGACTGGTCTGTCTTCCCTGTAGACTCCAGACCTGCAAAGCAAGCAGTTCACAAAGACAGAGGCAGGATGCAGCAGTTGGGACACGCTGCTTCGGTTAAAGGTTCCTTAAGATGATCTAGCCCCAACAAGGGGGATCATGTCCATCCTTTAACTGAAGAGGGGCCAAACAAGCTCTGCAGCATGGCACATCTAGCATTTTATTGCTGACAAGGATACGCACGTCAGGTCGAGCAGAGAACGCCACTCTTGACGTCGAAGTCAGTAAGCCAACAGACCAGGGAACCCTATTGAGCAGAGACGCCATTAGGGGTTTTCCCTGTAATTCGAGGTTGTAATGAGATTAATAAATAGTAGAGCCGAACGCGGCTGTAAAAGATAACCAAAAGCAAGCACAGAAATGGCCGCTAAATGGATTAAATAAAGTAGAGCCGAATGCGGCTGTAAAATATAACCAAAAGCAAGCATGGAAACGGCTGCTATGTGGATTAAAGAAAGTAGGGCCAAACAAAATATAGGCGAGCCAAACACGGCTGCGCAGTTTAACAAAAAGCAAGCCTGAAAATGGCTGCAATTGAACAAATACAGGTAAGCTGAACACGGCTGCACAATTTAACAAAAAGCAAGCCCAAAAACAGCTGCAATTAAATAAAATATAGACAGGCCAAACACGGCTACACAAGGTTGACAAAAGGCAAGCCCGAAAACGGCTGTGATTAACAATATTGACAAGCCGACACGGCTGGATAACGTAATCGAAAAGCAAGCCGAAGTGGCTACGCTAAAAATGCCAGACAAGCCAACAGTGGCAATATTAAGAAAGCAATCCAAAAACAACTGCTGGATAATCAAAATATAAGCCGATATGGCTAACAACAAGCTGGCTGGAGTTTAGCTAAGGCCGTACCACCAGCAACAGAAAAATCGACTCCGTCGGCTCCGTCGATTAAAAAGAGAAACAACTTACCAATTGAAGAACAAAGTTGCATTAATGTAGCTCGTGCAGCCTCTGGAGGGCAAGAAAATCCTCGCAGCTCCGACCGTAGTCTCGAGGCTACCAACAACAAGCAATAACAAATTCTTACCACCTGTTCAACCTGCATGCGAGAAGATGAAAAGGGGCTGAGCTACCATGTCACCTGACTACATAGACTACTGGCGTCACTGGGGGTCACACGTGACCATGTTGGTATAAGATTCTCAACCTGTGCGTGCGCAAGAGCGATCACATAGAACTTAATTCACACCATAGCTATAAACCTAACAGCACAGCAGAGCTGCAAACAAAGTGAGGACATTGAAGAGGTCCTCACTTTACATCAACGACCTCACTTGGATTGTAACTATGGTGCACATGTTCTTCATTCTGTGGTAAAAACAAGTATAAACACACACACACACACACACACACACACACACACACACACACACACACACACAC